GGCATACCATACATATCATTATTAGGTGAAAAAAGTACCGACTAACATATCAGATGTTTAGTATATTATAGTAAAATGCTTATAATTTTACAATTCAGTCCAAATTTAAATTGACTTAATAATATATTAATATTTTTTTATGATAAAAATATCAATATATAAATGTTTTTAGTAGCAATATCTTTTCATGAATTCTTTTACTTTTGATATGCCATTTAGAGGCAAGAATGTTGACTTAAAAAGCATAAGGCAAAAATGTGGTTTTAAAAGAGGAAGATTTATTTAATGAAAAATAAAAAAATTCATCATCTTGAAAGATAAAACACAAGTTTTAAAAAGTAGACAAGATGTAAATTTTCTCAATGATCAGAAAGGATTGCATGTTCAAAAAACATCGCACAAAAAAATTTTTGCAAAATAGATGGTGAAGTAAGAAAAAAATTTAAAGGTTATAAGAGTCCATTAGGAAACAAACACGGTTGGTTTATAAAAAATTTGAGGAGACAATAAAATGTTTAGATACTTGTATTAATTTAGATAATAAGATAGAGAGTATATTCATCCTTTTAGAAAATTTAAAAAGTATATTATTTTTATTCATTATCCGTAAAGTAATTTCATAAATTAGTTCTTGAATTAGCTAAAACAGAAAAGTCTGCAAGTTATATAACAATTAAAGACTTTTTGGACCTGAAAACTGATTTTTTTTTTTTTTTTTTTTTTTTTTTTTGATTTAAAATGTTGTTTGTTAAAAATGACATTACTTTAGATAGAATGGCTGAAAACCAGTTCATCAAACTGAAATTTATTGCGGCTATGTGCTATGTGTATATATCGCTATATGTTATTATACTTATTTCCAGGTTATAAAAGATTTTTTTAAAAATTTGTCACTGGTCTTTCTATTTTCAACGTTGGGTTTAGCTCGTAAAAACAATCAACTTTTTGCGATGTATTTACATACGTTGGAAAAACGTTGATTTACATACATTGAATCAACGACAAAATATATACATTGGATCAACGTTAAGTTTAGATCGTAAAAACAATCAACTTTTTGCAATGTTTTTACATATATTGGACCAATGTAAATTTGCCTGTTGCTTTTAGTTCCGTCGGTAATAATTTTATCATTAATCAAATGACATTGGGTCAACGTTGGTTTTGCATTGGAAAAAAGAGACGATATATATTTTTATTAAAAAAAAGTTTGTTTATCAAAAAAATGTTGTTTTTCGTTGCAATTTCCGAAAGGATTTTATTGTTTCTAAACTAATTAAATGCCCCGTTAAAGCCCCCCCCCACTCCCCCACATATTCAATTTTTTTTCAAAAGGAAATTTTTTTTTTATAAAGAAATTTCATGATATAGAGGACTTTTTTTAAATATTGACGATTGTGCCTCTCCCACAGCCCTGTAAACAAGTTAAAAGGTCTCACAAGAAAAGGAAGAAAAACTTTCGGTTTTTTATTTTTAGTATAACAAAGAGCTAAATAAGAGATTGAATTAATTTGATTAATCTGGAATCTTATTGCTTTCTTGTAGTGAAAATGTTAAAACGTTCTTTCAAGTCTAGTGCATTAGAACTAGAGAAAGCTAGATCCTTTTTGCAAAACAAAGAGACGTCTTATTAAGTTTCTTTATTCCCCAGCCAGCACACATACGTTGTTATAACATTAGAATAATGTCGCACGTTTCGTTGGCCCAACATCGGCTGCCAACATTGTTTTTATATCTTTATGGTTACAAATGCGACGTCGCCAACAACTAAAGTCGGAAAATAGTTATATTTTTTACGTTGATTCAACGTTTTATTTTATACGTTGGCCCAATGTTGTATTTACGTTGATTCAACGTTGAACTCTAATTGGCAAAACTTTGTACTTAATATTATTCGGAATTAAATTTTCATTAAATTCTATTATCTTTATATACATATATATATATATATATATATATATAATATATATATATATATATATATATATATATATATATATAGATATATATATATATATATATATATATATATATATATATATATATATGTGTGTGTGTGTGTGTGTGTGTGTGTGTGTTTAAATACAGCTGACGTAAGCAATATACTCACATGAATAAGGTTCAAAACGCTTGGTCATTGGAACAAAAATCGAGTTTGTGTTGAGTGTAGTTTGATATTTTAATAATCACTGAAGATTTTATTTAAGTTGTATAATTTTGCTTAGCAATGCTTGGTCGCATACATTGGATCAACGTTGGATTTAGTTCGTAAAAGCAATCAATTTTTTGCAATGTATTTACATACATTGGATCAACGTTGATTTATATACATTGAATCAACGTCGAAACTTATACTTTAGATCATAAAAACAATCAACTTTTTGCGTTGTTTTTACATACATTGGAAAAACGTTGATTTATATACAATAAATCAATGTCGAGATGTATCAACGTTGGGTTTAGATCAATGTTGGGTTTAGATCAACGTTGGGTTTAGATCAACGTTGGGTTTAGATCAACGTTGGGTTTAGATCGTAAAAACAATCAAATTTTTTCGATGTTTTTTCATACATCGGAAAAACGTTGACTTGTATACATTTAATCAACGTCGAAATATATACATTGGTTCAACATTGGGTTTAGATCGTAAAAACAATCAACTTTTTGCGATGTTTTTACATTGGACTAGTGTAAATTTGCTAGATGTTTTTTAATTCCGTCGGTAATAGTTTTATCATTAACCAAATGACATTGGATCAACGTTGGTATTGCATCGAAAAAAAGAGCCGACTTTTGCGATGGTTTTACATACGTTGGCCCAATGTAAGTGTGCTAGCTGGGTCATGAGCCGCCACCACACTTGGCACTATTAACTTCAGATATTCAAAATGAAGAAGTTACAAATTTATATTCATAATCTCCGACATGCGGTCAAAGTAGTCAGATGTCTTTTGAAGAACACAATAAATTGTCTGGTTTGCAGAGAGAGATCATGGACACGGAAGGTTCAAGCAATGCAAATAAGAACCATAATATTAAAAAGATACAGGCTTTGAACCATCTTCAATTTGCAATAAAGAACGTGTTTACTTGGACGAAAAAAGATTGATTTGAAACGAAATACAACATTTTTATATTTCGAATAAACTCGAGCCAACAACTATCTGAGCATTACTTAAAAAACAAATACATGATCATGATTATTAGTTGCTTTAATCCTTGTTTTTGGATTTTAAACATTTTTAGCAACTTCCACTAATGCATTGTACAGTGCTGCTATTGGATAACGAATAGCGTTTATGGTGTTGGTTCTGCATTACCAGAGTGTATTGGAAATAGGCTTTACTGTGAGAATTTGTACATGAGTTTTTAAGATCTGCCGTTGTTGTGTTGAAGCACCAAGTAAAAGATAAATTTGATGCAAAAATCCAAAAATTGTGATTGCAACGACTAAAGATTTTGTCTTCAAAAATAAGATAGACTGTCAAATCCACATGGCAATAATTTTTAATTGAGTTTAAGTATACGTTTTCTTTATACCAACACTGCAGTTTTTTATATTTGCTCCCTATTAAATCCTTGGCTTTGTTCAAAATTCAAAAAAATATTTTGAACGTTATTGAAATTTTTATGTAAGGCACAATCACCGATCAGACTATTTACCTCATTTTGAACTATTATGGCCCACTGGCGAAACAAATCAAAATCTTTTCATTTTTGGTTACTTTAGTCATCTGCTAAAATTTATTGTTTCAATTGAATATCGTTAGTAAGTGCAATCAAAAAAGATACAATTTGACATTGCACTGTAATTTATAAACAGTGCAACCGAGTTTAAAAAAAAAAAGAAAATGGATTTTTATCTGCTTAAATTTCAGGAGAAGAATTGGTTCAAGAACAAGAAATTAAACCATATGAAAAAAATTTCTTAGAAAAAAATTTAAAATTTACAGCTGCTATAAGCTTAAAAAGAAATAAAACGCACAAAAAGTTCCATTTTAAAAGCATAGAAAAATTATTGATAGTTCCAAAAAATATATATCGAATTGAATTTTTGTAATTTTTTGTAAAATCAAGCAGCCATGTTGTTAAATACACATTTCGATAAACGTCACTTTTTATTTATTAGGATTTCTGCAATATATCAAAAAGAAATACATGGTAATGATTTGATTAAATGTTGTGAAATTATTGCGCTCACATATACATTTAGTTCAGATATTGATCTGAAGGACTTGAACAATTCATTACAACTAAATCCTTAGCCATAAGTGCAGACTGATTATCTGTTACAACAATTTTGTTTCTAAAATAGAAGTGTTACTAGTTTGCAAAGAGTGATTTGCGTCATCTTCTTTAATGTAGTTTTGTAATTGTTCTAAAAAAATAACCTTTCCAAAATCTAGAGAAGCATTAAATTCTGTATCAAATGCAATGAAATTTTCAATTTTTTGATTTGATATCAGTTTCTGAAAAACCAATTTTTTGAAAAACTGTTGATTGAAATTTTTAAAAAATTACTAATAATACTATTTAAATAGAAGTTAAAAGAGTTTATGCTTCATTCAGAATTTAATATCAAAAAATAAATCAAAAGTTGCAAAGCTGCAAGTTGAAATTTAAGATTTTTTTTAAGACAGTTTTTATTTTATCTGGAGAAATTACTAACACAATGTCATCCGTTTTTATTTCGCGTTTTTTCTGAGTCCATTTATATCTTTTAGATAAAGATGAAAGCCATTCTCGTGGAGTGCAAGAACTTAGTAGTTATTGCACTCCGCGCCAACGCTTTTTAGGATGATAGCCTTTAGATTGAACGGAGTCAGGTGCAAATTGTCCACCAACTTGCCCAATCAAAAAATGATTTGGAGTTAATGGAATATCATCTTTTATATTGGCACTCTGATATGTTAGTGGGCGAGAAATCAATAAACTCTTAGCACCTGTAAATGCCGTAAAGAGTTCTTTATCTGTAATATCGGCTTTTTCGAGTATCCCAGTCATTGCACATTGACAGTTTTGACCATTCGATAAAAGGCATTGAGGAATGAATTAGTATCTAGATTATAAGCCATCTCAAGATGTACTGCTCGTGATAGTAAACAGGTAAACAAGCACAAGTATCTCTTTTGTCGTATCTTCCCTCTACCTTGCATAGTAAGAAATGGACCAGCAAAATTGATACCAATTCTAGCAAACGCACGTAGTGGTTCTTTAAAGCGCATTGCTGGTAAAGGGGCCATCAACTGTTGAGCAGGTTTACATCTTTTTAATTTACATTTGTTGCATTTTGCTTCTGCATCTCGGATTTCTTCTCCTCCTCGTATTACCAAATATTGTTCTGATAGTTTTGTTAATAATTGATTTGTTCCCATCACATGATTAGCTTCGTCATGGTAATGCTTAACAATCAATTTTGTTATTGTATGTCCTCTCAACAAAATGATTGGATACTTGAGATCATAGGGTAAGTAATGGGCATTTTGCAATCGACTGCAAGATCGCAATAATCCGTCTTTGTCAATTTGCGGATTTAAAGAAATAATTTTGCTTGATATCGATATCGGTTTTCCTTTTTTAATGGTGCTATATTCTTCTTTAAAGCTTTCTTTTTGAGCTTTAGCTATGATTTCTTTTTCGCTTTCATGATATTCATCAGCTGCTATATCACCCTTTTTACGAAAGTCTGTTTTAAATCAACAATTTCCTATAACATGAGAACTTGTTTATATCAAGCAATTGCTTTGTTACTTCAGTGGATAATGCAAAATTCATTAATACTAGATTTTTCTTTACTTCATTTAAAGCCTCTTGTGTAACTTCAATGTGATTCTGTGGCTATTATTCTTCTAAAGAATTAAGGAAACTTGGTCCATACCACCATACATAATTGCTTTCTAATTCTTTAACTGCTGTTTCTCTTGTTAGTAAATCAGCTACATTAGTTTTTGTTAGTATGTATCTTCATTGTTTTAGTTCAGTCTTTGATTGAATGAATCCAACACAGTTGGCAACAAATGGTTTCAACTTTCGACTTTGATTTTTTATCCACCATAAAACTTTAAGACGATCACACCATATAGTTACGTCCTTAGTTTCCAGCTTCAATGCCTTGACAATCTTCTCTGCAAGTCGTAAACCGAGGACAGCTCCAAGTAACTCAAGTCTTGGTATACTAATAGATTGCAATGGACTTACTCGGGCTTTTGACATTATGATCACACAGGTCACTTTTCCTGTGTCATATAAACATTGTTAGTAAGCAACAGCACCGTAAGCTTTACAAGACGCATCTGTAAAAACATGAATTGACCTATTTGTTACTGTTGAGGTTGTTTGTAAACATCTGGGATTGTTTATTTTTGGGAGATCTTTTAGTTCTTGAAACCATTGATCAACATTATTTGCAATCCTATCCGGAACTGCATCATCCCACTCAATTCCATCAATCCACAGTTCTTGCATAATTATTTTGATTCGAATGATATATGGTGGCAAAAAACCCAATGGATCAAACAACATTCTCCAAAATCTAAATTTATATGTTCTGCACGATCATTTTCTGGTGTTATTTTAAGAACTTCAACCGAGTTTGAAAGCCACTTTCGTGCAAACATTCCTGCTGAACCCCATAGTAGCGTGAGTTCCTTGTATAATTGAATTCCTACTTTTTCATCAACAACAGAAGTTATTGTGTCATCCATGTAAGTTGCTTCAAGAACAGCTTCAGAAGCCAAAGGAAACTTTTTTGCATACTTTCTTGCGTGTTCTTGCGTTACAAATTAAGCCATAAAAGGTGCTGAGTTGATTCCAAATACGAGCCGATTAAACTGAAATACCTCAGGCTCGGCAGTTGAATCTAGGTTTCTCCATAAAATTCGTTGGTACCTTTGGTCATCTTTATGTATTCCAATTTTTAAATACATTTCTGCTATATCACAAGCTAAAGCCACTGGGTATTTTCGAAATCTCAGCAAAACAGTCACAAGGTCTTGTTGAAGTTTTGGACCTTGATAAATAACATCATTAATTGATTTACCATTATATTTTGCAGACCCATCAAACACAATTCTGACTTTTGTAGTTGATTTATCAGGACGAAGAATTGGAAAATGTGGTAAGTATCAACCATCTCCAAGATCCCTTTTATTGATTTTCTCCAAGTATTCCTTTTCTTGATACTTCTTAATAACATTATTGTACTCTTCTCCTAGACTTTTGTTTTTCATTAGCCGTTTTTCCGTATTTTGTAATCTGTTTAACGCCATTGTATAATTATTGTCCAAATGTCTATTACCTTTCAGTGGTAATTTTAGCTCATATGTTCCGTTCTCAGTTTTTAGCGAATTAGTTACTATATTAAAGGCGGTAGAGTCTTCTGGACTTGTCATTATTTTTCTAAGTTGCATCTCTTTGTCGCTTTCAATTTCCCATAATTTTAATGGTGTTGTTTGCATCTTCTATTTCCTTTGTACTAGATGTTATTTTCGTAAAATGGGTTTGAAGAGATCCACTAGTACCACCAACACATGTCTATCCGAGCGGCGTGAGTCGAGCCACTGGTTCATTAAATCCTCTTTTTTACTTCCTTAATTGCACAGTGCAGCTCAGCGTAATCCACACCGATTAGAATGTCAATTTTTGGTTTTGGTCCAATATTTGGGAATTCGATTTTTCTAAGATGTTTCCAACTTTTTGACATATTTGCCCAATTAACTGCTTTTAAGTTTCCAGTTACATTAATAACTGTAAAAGCTTCCACTGTAATTTTTGTTTCTCCATTCAACAATTCCAACTGAAATTCTACCGGCATCGTTTCGAAAGAATCAATTTTTCCATTTATCATGTTTACAGTTACTTTTTTGGTTTTACCTTGCAGCCGCTACATCAGAGTTCAAATATGTCTTGGTACTTCCATCGTCAAGCAATGCGTTTACCACAACTTTTTTATATTCATTACGAAGAATAACTGGCACCGTTCTAAGAGATATGTAGTTCATGACATGATTTGAACGAAATTGGATGTTTGACGTATGAGAATTTTTTAATATCGTGTCTTTTACTTTTAGTCTTCAGAAATTGTTTCTTTTTTATGACTTTTCTTGTGAAGCAAACAATTATGGGTATCTGTACAGCCATCAATTCCACAAGTTCTTGTTTTCCTGCATTCTTTTGATTAATTAATTTTAGAATTCAAGCATCTGAAGCAAAGTTTATTTTTCTTAGCTGTCTCCCAACTTTCTTTAATATTTTGATTTTGAAACGTTGGACACTCCCATATTTTATGATCTATTTTGCAAACAGAACATTTCTGTATCTAATTTATTATCTTTTTTTGATCACTGTTACCAAAGTAAAAATTTCCTTCGTGTGCTTTGCTACCAATAGTTTTTTTTAAACCATGTAGAGTTTCTGTTGCTGCAATTTGAAAATCTGCTTCTTCAACAATAAACTTTTTAGAGTTTTAACATTTTCGTTTAATTTTTTTCATACACCCATCGTTTGTATCTAATTAACATTATCTCAGTAAATTTTTTTTGCAATTGATGGTAGAATGTCCCATTGCCAAGTTCTTCTGTTCGATTTGCTTCTTTTAAGTTTGTTACTGCCACATCCAACAAATCCGCAAACTTTTCAACGTCTTTCGGATTATTTTTCCTCATATGTTTAAAGTTGTTCAATTCATCCAAATGCATAAGGGTTTTTCTCCTTGTTCCGCCATATTTTCTTTCAAGCCTTTCTTTTGCAGCTTCATAAGCGAATGACGAATGCCCAAGTTCTTCAATTGCTTTTAATGCGTCTCCACATAAATATTGACGTAACTGAAGTAATTTATACTCAGATGTCGCTCTGGATTGATCAATACATGCGTAGAATGAAGCTTTCCAATTTTCATAGTTCTTTTTATCACCTTTAAATATTGGTATAGAGACGCGTTTGAGTTGTTTTCATAAATCATGTCCATTTTTTTCAGTCTTTCGATCCAAATCAATTATTTCATTTCCCATTTTACGCATGATATGCGTTGATTTGATTGGTTCCATTTCACTATTCCCATTTTCTTCTTTATTATCTTATACTGGTCATTACCTTTTTGAGTACTTAACCATTGATAACATTGCTTTTTTGCTTCCATTTTAAGTTCTTCTTCCATCCTTTGTTGTTTTAAACTTGATTTTAAACTTCCATTGCGCAATATCCATTCATTTACATGTTCCATAATTTCCGCAAATTCGTCGTTTAGTTTTTCGATTTCTGTATTGAGTTTTCCTACATTTTCTTTTGATTCCAGAAGTTCGTATTTCTTTGATAATTCAACCATTATCTCGAGAGCTTCGTTTTGAGTTTTTGTTAATTGATTACTCAATTCGCGTAACTCATTTTACAAGTGGGCTCATCGTCTCCAATTCGCTGAATAATTTGATGTTTAGTTCGCGTAAACGAAGACTTTAGAACTATTTTCTTCCTGTTCAATGCAGATACTTCATTTTGAACGGTTAACTGATCTTCCATTTGGTTATTTGATTTTTGAATTTTTCTTTTTACCATTCTTCCGTGTTGAAGAAACTACACTCTGCTACCAATTATGATCCGATGGCGATCACAAATAATACAGAATATGTATTATAACTTATATTTTTAAGATCTTAACCGTTTTTACATTAACTATATTACTTATATTCTTTATATTTTTGTATCTTAAAAACAACAACAACAAAAACTCTATTTATACAATATTTTCGTTCAATAACAAAAAAAACACTATTGTTCAAATAGTCGCCACATAATTGTTATTTAGTTCGTTATAGCCATATTGGCGCTATTTACTGGTTATATCGATCGTGGTATCGGAATGTTGTTTTTCTTTTATTCTAATTCAATTTTCTTCCAATCAAACATTTTAACTGGCTTCAACCATTCGATCGTATGGCTAAAGCTAGTTTGATGTGTGTGAAATGGATTCTGGTTACCTTAAAAACCATTATTTACCATGACGTCATTCAAGGCACTAAAATATTTTGACTCTTTTACTTTATTCATGTACTGATGCCGTACTGAGGCTATGATTTCAGATTATCGCAGAGTAAATTTGTTCCTATACCGGTTCTTAATCAAAAACCACTATTTGTTGCTTAGAAATCACAATTTGTGTTTCCTGGCAAGTTTCCCGGCATAGTTTAAGAACTGTGACTTTCCAAAATCTACCACTAACTTTACCCTGTTGCTAGCATAATCGATAAGCTTTTTTTCCAAATTTAATGTTAGAGTAGGTTCCAGGCTTTGCTTCAATAGTAATTTTCCAAAAAAGTCTGTCTCTCAGTGTTGTACGTGGTACATTGCCAAATTGCAGTCTTACGCACTGAAAATGATGATTCTGATCTGACATGGTTAATTGCACTCATAATATTTTCTTCACCCCATTTCATGATTTTGCACCATTTCTTAACGGCGACTGACTGATTAATTGAATGATTAGTGTTATTAACACAAGTTAAAGAAATATTGTGTTGATAGCTGTTTCATTTCTAAATGACATGTGTACTACTATTAGAAGTTGAAGGACTTACACCGTCATGAAAATGAATTGTCTCATAACTTTTTGAAACCCCTGTTGTAGAACCAGTCTTTCCAACAAACTCCCTGTGTAATCGTAATAAAACTAGAGGTGAGGGATTTACATCTCTCACCTCTTGTTTTATTCATATTAATTTTCAAGATAAATAACATTATAGTACAAAATGTCTTATTAATTTAATAAAATGTTTAAAATTAACAAAAGCTGCAAATATTAACATATGTTAAAAACCATATCTTAATATTTATACCCTAACCCTTATCCTAGGCGCGGGTAAGGACGGGAGTAATGTCCAGAACCCGGAAGTTACTTAGTGAAAACAGATCGCGGATGATTTCAAGAAAATTTCAATTAAATATCTGCAATATTAATTTATATTTTTAGAATCAATAATAATAATAGAGTTTTGCATCAAGATCAACTGCTTTTTAGCTACTTTCTAAATGTCAATAGTACATTTCATCCTATGCCATTCTTAGCTTTACAAGGTGCTAGAACGATTTTAAGTATATTTTCCGAAATAATTCATTCTACTGTCATTCATTTCAATGAACTGTTTTACAATTTTTTTAATGTTAATTTTGTTGATTTGTTTTTTGTGTATCTGAGCAAACATGATGTTATTCAGGTAATTGCCTCCAGTTTGTGACCGATGTTTTTACTCTCCCTTTTTTCAGCTTTTTTCACATGATGATGTCGATAGAGGCATGGTGTAATAAAGCTTCATTGATTTGTGTGTTTGTTTATGGTGACTTTTGCAGCTGGCATGGCATTGAAAATATCTGCAACTGTTGCCAGTCTGGAAACACTCTATTTAGAATGATGCAACAGTATTGCACAGGTTAATAATTGTTGGTAGCCCCTATAACTCAACTTTTAGTCCCAAGATGTCAACATCGTTAAAAAATGGCATTCCAAATAAAAACAGTGGGGAATCTAGTTTATTTACCAATGAAATCAAAACTTCTACATTTTTTTACAGCTGTTAATCCATCCTGTTCAAATCTTTCAGTCAAACTGTTCTGAATAGCATTAATTGCTTCAAAATAAGATTTCCTTTGTTTTTGCTCTGATTTGGCAGGATCAGTCATTGCACCGCCTAATGTAAGCTTGTCAGTAATTACTGAACCGCGTAATGTTTTAGGTATCATTCTTTGTCTCAGTGTAACTTCGGTTTCGTTGTCTTGCTTGATTCCAGGTATTTTTTTTTTGTCGCCTTTAAAATTTTAATAAATTCCTTGTCTGATCTAAGTTCTGCAAATCTCTGAGACGCATTTCAAATGCAGAATACTGCGGCATCACCCGTTAGATTAATTTCTTGTAACTGCTTTAATAGATTCTCTAGCATTGCAAAAAATTCAAAAGTGCTTTAAAGTTCAAAAAGTGTTTTTTTACTGATAAAAGCTGAGATAATAAACGTTTAATTTGTTTTAAGTGCAGTTTCTGCACTCTGAAGACTGTTCAATATTGTACGGAGTTCTCCAATCTTCTCCAACACCACCTGTACTGCTTATGTTCGTGTTTTCCATCGAAACATTAACATAGAATTCAGTCGCAATATTCTGTATTCATCTGATTCAGACTCATCCAATATATTCTTTTGGATTTGTTCGAAAAAGGAAACACGCTTTGGATATGTCCCAACAATTGCATAAATTGACTGGATAATGCTGAGAGAATCCGACAGTAGTGATGATATTGCATATGTACCCTTATCAATCAGCTCGCTGTAATGTGCCATGCAATCAAAATATTGTGCTTGCTGTTCAAAAATATCTTTTTAGTTTTGCTGCCAAGCATTTTATAACTGATGCTCCATCATAGCCGATCCCGGTAACTTTTGTATATTCCAAGTTGCACCTCAAAAATATATCTTCAATATATGTCACCAAGGTATATAAAAATATATGTCAATATATGTCACCAAGGTGTATAAAATCTTTATAGTTGTTACTGCAAGTTCCTATATTCAACAATATTTTTTTTCTTCTTAGTAATATCTGAGGATTCATCCGCAAGTACCGAATAGAAATGTTTATCTTTGATCAGTTTAACAATCTGCCTTCGTGCTTAAGAAGTTATGAAGGTAAGAAAATGTTCTTGTTCTTGCAAGATGTCATGAGATAAAACATAATGGTTTTCAACCATCAATATTTCTAATGCCTTGTCACTTTTACTCTTATCCAAATTAAACTGGTAAATATTGGATTCTTCATCATTACCACCTCTTATAGCTACACCATGTCTTCAATGTTCCGAAATGAGCTAGCAAGCCTTTTCTTCGCACTGCTTGCTTCTCTATGTACATTTGGTCAATATGAGCATAAATTGTTGTAAACTTTTTATTTTATTTCTGAATCTTTAGAGGACTTATGAACTTATGAACACTGGAGTCCTGGTGATCTTTTAGTGCTGCTGCAGGTTTGCTCCATATTCTAAATCCTTTCCCGATTTTCCCAAAATATAATTCATATTTTGGTGGAGTGTTCAAGCATGGACTGGAACACTCCACCAGAACATGAATTATATTTTGTACAGATTTCACAGAAGACAGCTTTCAGTGATCAAGCATAAATTAACCAACTAAACTCATTAAACCAAGCCTTAATACAAGTTCTTCTATTTCTGTCACTGTTTTTTTTTTTTTTATCAATTTCACTAAAATTCTCCGCTTTTCTTAATCTTTTTTTAACAAGATTTTCCGTTAGAATTTCACCATGTTTTACATCGGATTCCTGTTTTTCAATATTGTCTATTTTTGACTGCCTATGTTAACTTTATCCTGATTCTGTAGTTCATTGTGGGGGTTCTCTGGCTCCACCGGTTTAGTTGTTGTTTTTTTCAACAAAGTAGTAATTTTGATCTGATAAGATGATACAGGTGCTTTCGATAATTCCATAGTTTTTTTCTTTTGAAGTTTTTCGGCCTTCGGCATGACTGTTCAGTGGTTAAAACTGTTACATTTAAGTTAAAATTGCGATTAAGAAATATAGTACTAAGAAATATAAGTTTGTACGCAAATAATCGTCAAAAATAATCACGACTCGAAAATAATTACCGAAAATAAAAATACTAACTGAAAAAACTATTGCTATATGTTTTTTATAGCTTCGATAAAAAGAGAAAAAAAGGGAACACATTGTAGAGACAATCTTTACAATGTGTTCCTTTTTTTTTCTCTTTTTCTCAAAAATAAAAATTCAAACTCAAAAAACTATTGCTTTTTAGCAAAACATCTACTAAAAAATATTTGGAATATATATAAAAGCGTAGTAACAAAAAATTGTAATGTATGTCGATAACAAGAAGAATAAAATTTAATATAACATACTTTATTTAATTTCGAATTGATTTTTGGAAACATTAGTTCTAAACGTGATTGCAATTTACAAAAAATTCTTTAACGTCGGTTTATTTATCTGAGTTGTTTCTGAGTTGCTCCACTGCTGTTAATTGATTCTAGCTCTTTTATTCTCTTTAATAATATATTTTTAAAGTTTCGTTTAAATCAATTTAAACTGTTTTCACTTTAAAAAATTTGAAAAAAGAATAATCCATTACCACCCATCCCACCTATTACCAGTTGGTTCTCGGAAAAGTCCGGTTAAAGATCCTTGAGTTGAATTAACTTTATTAAAATGTACTTCTTTTGGGAGACAGATGCAACTAACTTCTGAAAAAAAAAAGTTTTTTTATTGAATACTGGTTGTGATCAGTTTGAGCAGATGTGTAGTTTATAAGTAGTTAAACACAAACACTGAAACAATGTTTCATCAAGACTTTACCAAAAACTGCATCAAACAAAAGGTATTTTGACAAAGTATTAAAGACTAAATGTATTTTGACAAAGGCTACTATAAAACTAAAATCACTTGGAAAAAAAGTGTTGTTAAACTGCCAAACAACAGAGATCTGCCTATTAAAAGATTAAATATTACAACAAATTTTTTTGAAAAAATAGAGCAGTGTAATGATATAATTATAAAACAAATCGATGGAATATTGAAAATCACACCAGAAAACCTTTCGAGTTTTTCTACTATGCATTTTCCCGCATCATAAGCAACTTGCATTTTTTTTAATGTGACTTGCTTATGACTGTTTAGCTAGAAAAGACGTTCAATCACATTTGTTAAAAGATTGTTTGGAAGTGGGACCATTTCTGCAATTTCTAATGTTTGACATTCTTATACAAAATGGGGTAAATAAACTTTGCTATTTATCTTCCTAAAAATTTTTTTTTACAAATTCAAATTTACTAAAAGGATAGAGAATTAATTTGGTGTGAAGGCTTAAAAAAAAGAAGTTAGTAAAGTTTACATTAAGTTTACCTATTCATTAAGCGTAATTATTAAAAAACATGTATCAAAATAAAAAGATATTTATCTAAAAACAGTGTTTGCTTTGAAAAAAGGTACTATATAGGTAATATAGATGAAAAATCGATGAAAAAAGAAAAAAGAACTTATCAGGTTTAAAAACCAATAAAAACAAATTTAAACGGAATCTGGATTCCAGCTGTATAAATGGCATAGCAACGTAAACAAATTGAAAAACGACCCCTGAAAATATTTTGTTAAAACATAACTTTAGCAACATTTTAAAAAATTAAGTAGTCGAACCCTTAATGAATCTATTAGATTTCTTGAGAATTCTGTATTAATTATTAACTGTTTAACAAAATGTAAAAAGTTGTACGGTTGAATAATTTCAATCAAATAGTTTTTTGATCATTCAAGTAAATTGTAAAAATGATCTTTTAATTGAAATCCTGATTGTCAATATCCTTTCAAAGAATTTTTTTTTTGCAAGTTTTCAAAATCCTCCGGATAGCAACCCTAACTTAATCATTTGAATTCATTACTACAAAATGAAAAAAAAAGAAAAACTTTTTCTTAAGTATTATCATTATAGTGTTTAAGTTATTGAGAAGTAATAAATAAATATGAAGGTTTTAAAATGAAAAACAAAGTTCAAAAAATATGTATATAAAAAAAAAGAAATATTGAGTATTTATTGCCTTTTTAAAATGTAAAACTTCGCAAAAATTGTATATGGTTTGGCCACACACCTACTGAGTTTCGATCGTAAGTGCCGCGAAAAATATGTGCTTAGATTGAGCAACTATGGGACGACAGTTCAACAGTGTGCCAAAATAAATGAAAGAAAAATAATTAACAAATAATTACTAATAATTAACAAATGCACCGACTTAAACAGGTTAATAGATGCAATTAGACCCACAAGCAAAAAAATTTAATAAATCTACTAGCAAAAAAAAAAATTGACGTATGCTGCAATATGCTAGTTTAAATGTTAGTTAATATTAATATATTACGTATCGTAGTTGTATGCTAACTTTTTACACCGTTTGTATTTCAATACAAAAATTATGACGATATTAAACTTGGTACATTAGTATTTTTGGGAATTCCAGGAATTTAAATATCTTATTTTTAAAAATTTCAAAATTTTTTAAAATAAGAAATTTAAATTGAAAAAGAAAAACCCCATTTCTTGACAACAAAACGTCTTCAAGAAACGCTTGCAACTTGGTATACTTTGATGCCATGTGTAACGCTGTAATAAAATGTAACAAGCTGTAGTAAGTGCAACTAGTACTCATTTTTAGAACCGAGCATAATTTATGTTTAGTAAAGACTTAAGTTAAATAATTATAAATAATTTTTTTGATTATAATATCATTTTAAAAGTTTTTAGCTGTTTAATCAAAAGTTACTAGTTTCAAGCACTTTCTAATGAAAGAATAATATCTAAGTTTAGAAAAATTAATAACTAAGTTAGATATTAATGTGCATGTGCATACAAAATTTGAATTGGTTAGAGTCTAACCAATTTAAATTTTTGTATGCACATACCCATTGAAGTCTTATGTCTATTTCAACAGCCAAATTCAAACTCATGTTTCATTTCAACACTTTTTATTAAAATTTTGATTTTTTAGGTTTACATTGATTAAAATTTTCAAAAAAATATATTTTATAAAAATTTAAATAAACAATTTCAACTTTATTCTAATAGTAGGATTGTAATTTACAATTTGTGTGTGATATAAAATGATGTAAAATACCCCAGATTACAAAATTTTAAAAGTAAATTTTTGATTTAAGTTGACATATTGATCATTATTTGGATTATTCTTTAGATTTATTTTATAATGGAATCAACATTAGAAATTCTTTCAAGTAATAAAAATCACGCTATATTTTCACGAGCTTTATCATTTACAGAAGAACTTGGTACTAATCTTTTATTTAAATGCAATCCAGATTCTTTTAAAAATGCACATGTTACTTCAATGGAACAATATAGTAGCATGTATAAAGAGTCTATAGAAAATCCTGAAAAATTTTGGACAAATATTGCTGATGATTTTTTCTGGAAATATAAATGGACCGGGAAATTTATGGATTACAACTTTGATTTGTCAAAAGGAAATGTTTTTGTGAAGTTTATGGAGGGAGGAAAAACTAATATATGCTATAATGTCCTTGATAGAATTGTTAATGAAAAGAAACTAGGAGATAAAGTTGCATTTTACTGGTAATATTTTGTTTTAATATTATTTTAATAAATCTTATGAGATTGAGACAGAGATACTCTGTTTGATTTAAAAGACACATGAATAATCAATAACAACAACAACAACAACAATATATTTCGTGTTACAGATGTTACAAAAACACAGGTCATTGCAAATAGTGATTCACTAATAAAGCGCAATGACCTAAATAAGATAAAAAATAATAACAGTAATATGTAATAAGTAAAACCACATAAAAAAGTAGGTTATAAATGGAAGTTAAATAAGTAAACATAATATTAACTAATAAAAGTAAAACTGCATAAAAATTTATTAAATATTTAGATATGTGTATATTTAGATATATTTAGATATGTACATTATAAGATATATTTAGATATGTACATTATATGATAATTTATTTAATATATAGATATAATATTTAGTATCAATTGAAAAGATATTAATAATTTTGTTAAATGAGCATTAAAATATGAGTATTAACTCACTGTTTTAATAATCTAGTTGTTATGTTGTGTGCTTCTAGCAATTAATTTTTCTTTTTTTAAACATTTAGTTAAAAAGTTTCTATTTTTTGACAAAATGTTTATCTAAATAGCATTTTCAAAAAATTGATGCACATTAACATGACTAGTTAGATCCTGACAAAAAATTGATATATTTAAATATTAAGCAGGTTGTGGAATTGTTTAGAATAATGGAAAATAACCTATAAGCATTTCTTTATCCATTTTAACATTATTGTTAACATGGATAAGTGCATATCCATCTAGTTGGACAAGCTAAGTCAACTTTGTGAATTTCATCTGCAATTGTTTTTTGTTTTTTTTAATTTTAAGTAGTTATATCAATATTTTAGATAGAGCTGGGGCTGCATGTGCATTACTTGCTGCTATAGCATCAATTGCAAGCCATGGTGAGAATGAGCTGTAATTCTTGATTGCGCCTACAATATTCTTTATGGCTCACTCAAAAATAATTTTTTTTTTCTTGATTTAAGAAAACTAATTGTAATTAATTTTCTTCAAACTGCCGGTTATAAGCTTTAACAAGCACAAAGTTTTAAAACAGTGTTTAGGGTAAATTTCATTGATTAAAAATAAAATAATAAATATATACCAAGAAAAACTAACTTTGTATTTTAGCTTGCTTTCTCCATTTTAATCAAAATTTTAAGTCTTTTAAATATACCCGCTTTTTTTGATGCAATCTTTATATACGCATATTTTATGATTTCATAAGTTTATTCAAGCGCATTTAGTTCTTAAGAGTTTCAGTATAAAAATTGCTTCATTATAGTAATATTTTATTCATATTTTTATGTGAGTTTAAGGAAACCATGTTTTAAATAAAAGAGGTTTTAAATAGTTTAAACATCAAATAATAATACAGTCTTTTAAGCTTTTTAATTTAAAAAATAAATCTTTTAAAAAGATATTTTTCAAGAAAAAATGTTTTTTGATAATATACTAAAACTTTTTTATTTAATGATAATGGGCTTTAAATTATTTAATGATAATAGACTTTAACTTTCCAAAATAACATTGAAAATTTTTTCTCTTTTTTTTAAATAAATAGTCTGTTATAAAGTTATTACATAATCTGATATAAATACAGTTAGAGATTCCAGAATGCAAATAAAAAACATTTGATGTTTGACAATAAACACATAATTTTCATGAATTTTATTCTCATATATTTTTTTATAGTTAAGCTAGAACCTTGAGGTTATTTGCATCAATTAATTTGACTCAACTTTTTCCAACTATATATAGAATGTATTATGTTTTATATGGCTTCACTTACATATTATTTATGTCTTGAGATCACTATTGGTTAAAAAACTTGCTGCAAGAATATTTTTTTTAAATGATGCTTTTGAAAATTAGGATTCCTAAGTACCAAAACACATCTAATTTGTATGAAATTTTCCATATATATTTAAAAAGCAACAATAATTTTATTGGAATGTGGATTCTTTTTAATATTTTAACATTTTTTCTTTCTCAGCGTTTAAAAACTTTAAGGTTGATTTATATAGAAAAAGCTGTTGTCTATATGGAAATGGTAATTATAGTCTTTCCTCAATTTAAAACAAGTATTTAGTTTTTTTTTTTTTTTTTTTTTTTTTTTAATTTGCATTCACTCCCAACAAGGCTGCAAGCAACCACTATTAAGTTGGGAGTTACTAGGAAAAAAAAAGAACAGAGTTATAGAGCAAGGAAACGGTTGACAGAAGACTTAAAAAGTTGAAGGTTGTATGAGTCAGGAAAACATGAAGATGGGAGAGAGTTCCAAAGGATTGAAGTGCGGGGAAAAAAACTAGATGAATAAAAGTTTTTAGAGCATGCAGGGACAGATACAGAAAACGAATGAGACTTAGCTGAATGACGAGTAAAGCGAGAATGAATTTTAGTTGATGGAACTAGAGATGATAACTCCTTTGAGCAGTGACCATGATAGTATCTGTAGAAAAGAGAAAGAGATGCAACTTTACGACGATGGGAAAGAGGTTCAAGCTTAGCAGATAGTCCAGGTCCAACAACATTTACAATGCGTTTTTGGACCTTGTCAAGAAGAGAGAGTGAATCGTTAGAAGAACCAGCCCAAATATGACAACAGTATTCCATACAGGGACGAATAAGAGATTTGTAGAGGTAAAGAATGGAATCAGAAGTAAGGAAATGGCGAGCACGATAAAGAGAAGCAACCTTAGCAGAAGCTAATTTAGCAATCGTTTGTATATATGGTTTCCATGAAAGGTCAGTAGTAAGCGATAATCCAAGTTATGTTACCTTGAAGATTTGGTACTTCAGATTTGTATATAGAAATTATGAATATGATGTTTTTTATCCACATATTGTTTTGATTTTTGTGCAAAATTTTTTCTTATTTTATTTCGGTGCCATTACACAGTCGATTTTCCATACTTGAGCACGAGGTGTTTTGTCAAAAATCATCAGTTTTTCCAGCACAAAATGTGCAATAACTTTGGATCACTAAACTTCTAAGGTTGAAAGACCCTTTACTTTTTAAGTTTTTTTTTAGCTCTATACAACCATGTTAATCATTAAAAAAATCCTGATGAATGGCTAATACAGTTAAAAAATAATAATAATAAATTGCAAAGTATAAATAAAATTTTAAGGGACTTTGAAACTTAATTTTCTCAAAATTAGAATAACCTGACAACGCTGGTTTTTCTACTGAGGTCATCATATTCTGAGCATTTCCAAGATGAATTATGGGTTATTCCATCTCAAATCAACCCACAAAAAAAGTTTGCAGCACCATGCCATCTCGAATTTTGATGATTTTTAGAATACAAGCTTAAATAAATAAAAGAAAAATTCATTCCAATTTTTAATGTTTGAGTCTTTATAGTGTCAGAGATATTGATACTCAGTTCCAATCTCTATTTTGACTTTTTTTTTTAGCGCCATTTTTTTTAGCAGTAAAAATTTGTACCTAACTATTTTTTAGGGAGAGGAACTCAAAAATGGTTTCTTAAACACTAAAAAATTAAAGCTTCTATATTAAAATTCAATTTCAAAATGGCTTAATTTTTTTTTATGTTTTTTGATGCCCCCTACAAAAAAAATGTTCATCTTGAGATGCCTAAAAGATATGATGCTGAAATTTTTTCCTAATGTTCTATTTGTAATAAATGTCATAATACAAAAAAACTGCAAGGGTTTTCTTTTTTAAGTCAGATTTATTTGCATTTAAAGTTTTATAATACTAAACCCAAAAAGTAGTAAAATTAAAAAAAATTAACCATGGAAATAATTTAATAGTTTTAAAAAAAATTATGAATTAACAATCTTTAACAGTTTCATAAAATATTAATTCTCTGGTTTAAAATTTGCCCAGCTTTCTTTAATGCTTAATCACTGATTTTGTATTGTCTTTCTGTGACAGTTATTGGAATATTAATCATTAACAATAGGTTTGTTGATGGAACCCAGTACACATCATCTCTAGAAGGCCAATAATATGATCTTGAAGGGTAAAATGGATGCATGAATCTAACTTGAAAGTCTTTATTTTTAACATCAATATCCTCATTTAGTCCAATCCATGGATTGTTATCATTTATCAAACATACAAACACTCTATTGGTTATATTAAACAAGCGTTCTTTAATAATCTCATCAGTTTGAAAATTGAAAACAAACGAGTGCTCTAGTTGGTCAGAAACAACTTTAGCTCCAATTTTTGTGTTATTTATTGGAATGAAATTGTGATAGCTGCAAGTGCCTGGTAATGTTTTTGCAGTTGCATATCTTTGCAAGAATTTTCCTTCTATTGCAGATGTTATTTCACATAGGCAATTTTACCAAATTAGATCAAACTTGAAAAATGTAGTCAACACTATGTAACACTAGAGGAAAAAAATGACAGAATTTACCTATGCTAAATTGTATACAAAGGAATGTTTGAAACTGAAAAGAGATTGTGACTTAAATATCAATGAAAGATGATGGTGTTCACCGGAGCTTCTCCAGTTCAGCAGTATGTACCTAACAAACCTAATCCAATTAGGTTAAAATTTGTTGTGACTGCTACTTCACTAGCATTACTCTCTGATTCAATAAATGATTACAAAAAACAATTATATACCCGAAACCATAATGAAAACTTGTTCCAAAATCTGTGAATCAGTTGTGAAAAAGTAAAGATCTTGCTTGTTGCAATAAAGGATCAACTAATATGTGTAATCAAGAGTATAAGAAAATATGTGTTGTGTAGTGGTTAAACAAGAAGTCAATACTAATGACTTTGGCTACATGGTGTTGCCACATTGGATCAATATTGTAACAAACAAACTAAATCACACATTCAAGTCAGTTGTCCTGCTATTATTTTTTCCTATAACAAAAAACTGGGTGGTAGTTGGTGTTTTTTCTTGAGAATTCTTTCTCAAGAAATTTTATTTCATTATTTTTCTCATTTCTTGAGAAATTGATATTTCTTGAAAAAATGAAAGCTTGAATAC